TCGGCTGGGGAGGGCGGGGTATAAATAAAAATTATTATTATTATTATTATTATTATTATTATTATTATTTTCCCAGAGTTGCAGACATCTCCTCCTCTCTCCTCCCTGTCCTTCTGAGCCTCCTGCTAAAGGCCAGTTTCTCATTAGAATTTCCATTGGTGGGACCAGCGACCTTCAGTGTTGAAAACCACTACTTTCAGGAAAACACAACACCACTATACCACCACTGGGGATTTGACTTCCGGTGGGGTGGTGGTGATGGTGGTTACAGTTGATTTCCCAGATGATTTTTTTTTTTTTAATCATCGTTTTTACTTCGAACTCATTCAACTGTTCTGTAGATGTGGATTTTGTGCATGCCCAAGGTGTCTGATATCGTGCAAAATACCATTGGCAAGAGTAGTCCCTAACTCACTGAGGATTTGAGACCCGTGGTCTGCCTTCACCTGGTTTAGCCAGCCTGTCAAAGCTGTATCACATGCTGACAGCTTCTACGAACCGCAATGAGAGCTGAGTGCAGGGTGGGGACCAAAGGTGGAAAAACTACCCCAGAAGGAGCACAACATGAGCCCCCACCAGAGGTACTACCCCCTCCCCTAACATCCCACACACCTCAAATAGTTTATAATACCATCAAAGTGAGTGAACCACCACCCTCAAACTATTTAATACATCCAACTCAAGTTGTGAGTTACAGGCAGGAACCACAACATGTAACATGGGCGGGGGGGGGGGGGAGTTGTGGAAAATGCATTTTGGTGTGGTATGCCACCCCTCATCCCTACCCTCCTAGTCACACTACCCATGCTGTTCACAGTCAAAACATTTTTGGGAAAACTAGTGGCTGTTTCTTATTTGAACAAACAAGGCGATACTCCCTTAAGGTGCTAAATCTGAACTGTGAAATGCAGGCTAAATCCTGAACCGAGGGACAAATGCCACAATGGATACCTGATGTCTACTTTATTGCTGGATTATTCAGCGCCAGTTTAGCACCTAGCACACTCCATCTGCTTCAGAAATGACTTTCTAACTCAAACAGTCATTGCTACCAACAAACGTAGGAGGGACTCCGAGTTGCCATGGTGAGGAGGCGGGGAATTAAGAACAGAGACTGTTTGGAACACAACACATTTTACAGAACATGATCCAAAAGTACCAGGGATCTATTTTAAAAGAAGTAAAGGCATCTTCTTAAATCACAGAACAAATCATTACGCTGGAAACTCAAGTAGAAAGCAGCTGCCCTTTTGTAGAACACTGCATGTAAGCAGTTTGGGAAAATTAGGAAAAATGGCAGATACTAGAGATTCACAGCAGATTTGAACAAAAGGGGATCTGTCCCAAGTGCCTCAAACAGAAGCAGGTAAAGGGGGAAGGAATGGGTTTCTGTGCAGTCAGTCTGAAACGGGACCCAAAACCCTCATTTTTCCTCCTCCAAGGGAGCATTTCTAAAATGCACTAACTTGAGATCTTGAGTCAATGTATAAACAGAAAGCCAGCTGTATAAACAAGTGCTCAAAGCCCTCTCCTTTATCAGTCCGTGACGGCAATGGATGGCCTTGCCAGTCCAAAGGGGAGCAGGGATGGCACATCTGGGTCTTATCTTACATCCTGGCCACAAAGGCGCACAGACCTTGCCAGGTCTGACAAGAGACCCGGGAACGGCACCAGGAGTACTCTTAGAGTTGGTGACCTCCTGCCCCAAGATAAGAGATTAGGAACAGGAACAATCTTTTATGGTCAAGAGTACCGGAACAGGAATATCTGTTTATGGTCATGGATGTCAACTTACGTGTATAAGCTGACGTGCTTGGATTCCTGGGAAAGGGGGGAGAGGGTGCCTGGAGGATATATATACTGCATGAAATTTCTCATTTCTTTGGACTTGCTGTGGACTGACCATGCAAGTGCCTTCTGCTATCCGGAGAGCAGAATAAACTCTTTCTCTGAATCAACCTTGGTGTCATTTGACTTCCTTCCTCCCGTCCGGGAGCAACGCAGACCCCACCAGTCGGTAAAGTCTAATAAGGCTACATAGGGACATCCTGAAGTGCTTCATGGCACCGTGGTAGTTCAGACATTTAAAAAAAACCCACCAGACTTGCCAAAACAAAACGGCTTGCCATATAATGAATTGTCTGTGAAGGAAGAGGGGAGCTCCATTGTGACTGATGGGTCTACCTTGAAAATAGGAATGATTTTGTGACCAAGCCTCTCCAATTCAAGTGATTTGCAGTGAGGAGGGGAGATGCTGAAGTAAATAAGTTGCTTTGATCGCTGATGCTTCTCGCTTCTTTGCAAGTTCTTGCCTCTGAGAAGCAGTAACGTTATTACCGTTCCAACACCCATTAGAGCAAGGTTTTCCTTTTGCTTAAGTTTAACCCGGCCCATCCCTTTCCTTTCAAGCCCTTCTGTTCTTTTTCCTTTATTCCTTTTGAGTTCATCTTGCTGTTGCATTGGTCTTGAACTTGATGGGAAATTCTAGGTGAATGGGTGCTGCAGGCCATAATTCCCATTCTCGATCCAACAGCTGGGACATATGCACCAAGCCCTTTTAACAATGCTGAAAATCCAGCTGATTGGCTGTTTTGAAGGGGGAGCAGAAGGCTAAATTACGTCCCCTTGATGTGTTACCTCTTCCCCACCAAAATGCTGATTTGCAAGGTTTCAGCTATTTTTTTTAAAAAAGGCTACACTTGTATGGCCACAGCTGTTCCTTGTGCACGCAGTTGGATTGGAACCATTGGCTGCAGTACAATACAGCTGCATTCATAAAAACAAGGGCACTTAAGTATGTGTATCTGTGCCGTGCAATCTTATCCATAATTCCCTGCACTTAACTACCATTGATTCCAACAGGACTTTACAAAACTATGGACTGCGTACGAAATTGGACCTTAGTGGTCTGTGCCCTTGATCTTTAGGAAAGCTTATGATCCATTTCATGTTGGAGGCCAAAGTAGCTGATATCTGTAACATTTCGTGACTGTGTAGTCTATGAACCCATATAAATTAATCATGGCATTTAATTTTCCTCTGTTTTATGAAAATTCTTCCATGCTTCATGAGAACAGTTCACAATTAGAGCATCTCTCCAAGGGGAAAGTGTGTGTGTGTGTGTGTGTGTGTGTGTTTTGACTAGTTCATTGCTGAAATCATGTTCGCTACAGAAGAGGGGGCACTGATGTATGAAGAACTGCAATCCATTCAGCATCAGACCTGACAACCACAGAGCATTTGCAGACTAAAAAAAATCAATGGCAGCATTGTTAACAGTACAGGTGGGATTATACAATATAAGAAATTTATTTTACTTATTTCAGCAAAGATGCCCAAGGTGGAAATGCTGCATTTTAAGTTACTGAATTAAGCAAAACAGTGGTGTGTGTATGATTTTTAAATATATATTATGGTCATTTTGAGAGCTGGACCATAAAGAAGGCTGATCGCCGAAGAATTGATGCTTTTGAATTATGGTGCTGGAGGAGACTCTTGAGAGTCCCATGGACTGCAAGAAGATCAAACCTATCCATTCTGAAGGAAAACAGCCCTGAGTGCTCACTGGAAGGACAGATCCTGAAGCTGAGACTCCAATACTTTGGCCACCTCATGAGAAGAGAAGACTCCCTGGAAAAGATCCTGATGTTGGGAAAGATGGAGGGCACAAGGAGAAGGGGACGACAGAGGACGAGATGGTTGGACAGTGTTCTCGAAGATACAAACATGAGTTTGACCAAACTGCAGGAGGCAGTGGAAGACAGGAGTGCCTGGCGTGCTCTGGTCCATGGGGTCACAAAGAGTCGGACACAACTAAACGACCAAACAACAACAACAACATGGTCATTTCACATCCTTCTTAATCATTTACAGTATGTATGTAAGTATGTAAACACTGCCAACGTCATATGTAGTTTCATCAGGTGCTCCCTAGAAGTTATTTTCTGCAACTACTACTATATGACATTAAAATAAACTCCCAAACAAAACGGCTCTCAATGGGAACAAACCCCAGCAGCTTCCAAAATGGGGTGCTGATGTCACAAGTCTGGTTCAACTTGGACCGTATGTGTTGTGACCCATCATGTTTTCATACCAGAAATAGTACTAGATGAGACATCCTCGAAGGAAGAGGCCACTGATGCTTAGGATGACTGAGACTCAAGTGGAGTCAGTTGAAAAGGACAAACTACCTGAGATTGCCACTGAGGAAGGTGCTCAGAGAGGCCACAGATTCAGGCCTTGATATGAGTCCCTTTGCTTCTGAATGATGGCAGGCAGCCTGTTTGGTGGAATAGATTATATCACAGCAAACAGCAAAAAGAGGAGATCAATGAATGATGCATGCCATATGACAAAAGGCAGGAAAGTGCACTAGAAACCGCAATATAGATTTCATATAAGTGCCTCCTGAATTAATGCATCTTAGCTCACTGAATAAATATTTAAAAATGAAATACATGTACACAATTCACTTTTTTTTAAAAAGGAAATATGGTTTTGAGGGCAGAGGCAAAGGAAATAGGTTTTTGAATCAGCGCCATGCTTACTTCAACTGCTGGCTGTATAAACACAGTTGTGCATTTGTTTTGTTGAAAACACTGGTTCAACCTACCTGTCTAGAACAGGTGCTCAAACAAGCTGGTATTTCCTGTTACTATTAAATATGCAGGATGCAATATTCTACTCCATGTTTCCACCCAGGTGTTTGAGCTTTTGTTTCAGAATCCACTTGGAGGAATGTGACTCTGAGCACATTTTGGAGCACTCTCCCCCCCCCCGAAGGACCTCTCACCCATTCCTTCTTTCACAGCTTCTACATTACAGGTGCTACAAAAAACCAGAGCTGCACAATTTGTGACCCATCAAGCCAAAGGCAGTTCAACAGTAGCTTGACAAATCTCCCACTTTTTAAAAACACCAACTTGAGGCAGCAGAAATCCGGATGGAAGAGTCAAGCGCTTGGTGGGTTGCATTCAGCTTGATGGAAAGGTTATACTGCTGGGATAGCTCAGCTAGTAGAGCAAAAGACCCTTAATCTCAGAGTCATGGGTTGGAGCCCCACTCTGGGCAACAGATTCCTGCATTGCAGTGGGGTTGGACTAGAAGACCCTCTACAATTCTCAGATTAGACAGCATCTTAAAAAGTAGAGACATCACCTTGCCAACAAAGGTCCGTATAGTAAAAGCTATGGTTTTCCCAGTAGTGATGTATGGAAGTGAGAGCTGGACCATAAAGAAGGCTGATCGCCAAAGAATTGATGCTTTTGAATTATGGTGCTGGAGGAGACTCTTGAGAGTCCCATGGACTGCAAGAAGATCAAACCTATCCATTCTGAAGGAAAACAGCCCTGAGTGCTCACTGGAAGGACAGACCATGAAGCTGAGGCTCCAATACTTTGACCACCTCATGAGAAGAGAAGACTCCCTGGAAAAGACCCTGATGTTGGGAAAGATGGAGGGCATAAGGAGAAGGGGATGACAGAGAATGAGATGGTTGGACAGTGTTCTTGAAGCTACCAGCATGAGTTTGACCAAACTGCAGGAGGCAGTGGAAGACAGGAGTGCCTGGCGTGCTCTGGTCCATGGGGTCACGAAGAGTCGGACACAACTAAACGACTAAACAACAACAACAACAACAACATGTTTCTCCCTCACTATCAGAGAAAAGAAAGGAAGGATGATCTGTTTTCATATCTCTCCTGATTTCTGTGAGCGTCTGCTGCAATATTGTATTGGCACCTAATAACAGATTACACAAGCAATATAAGCAACGTATTTAACACATCAACCACAAGGTGGGAGAGACAAAAAGAGAGCACTGCCCTGTGTTTTCCAAATCAGAAGGGATGCAGGTTTAAAAAGGAGTCTGCATTCTAAGCCAGATTGCCAACTGCAGAAGGATAACCAGATATTTTGATTACATACTTCAGTGCAGACATCATCCAGTCATTACCGGTATATAGTATTTTCTGCTCAACCTGTGAACTTCTGAAGGGATCATCATTAGCCAGGATCATCTCACACATGCACAACAGATATTGAGGCAATTTTAATCTGGGTTTTTTTCGCATTCAGAAAGTTCCAGATTCAGTCCCCACTGTTTACAGGAAGAGTTGTTCAAGCATAATTGTGTAGTACACATTTTTCAAGCACATCTCTGCAACATTCTCACTTCACATATTCAGATGTACACAGAAAGACCTGTATAGCTAAAAACAGGTTAAATCTTGTGTGTGTATAGGGAATGGTTTGCAGCTGCAGGCAATGCTAGATGGGGCAGGACTGGAAGAAGGACACATCAGAAGGATGGACCAATCTGTCAGTGAAGAGGCAAGAGTTCTTTTATTATTCATTTTCACAGGGAAAAGAGGAGCTGTTTTGAGGCAAAAATATACCATAATTTTAAAGCGAGAGCTACACTGAGGCTTACATTCCTGTTTACTGGGCACTCACTTCATGGACTGGGATTTTAATGCATTTGCATCCTATGGTTGGTTGTAAAATAACACATAATGATGTATTGTTTCTCAAACCAGCTTCACACTGGTGAGAGTCCTTAAGCCATTTCTAACGCATCTCTAGCCAAGTGTCTAAGGCGGTATTGTGAACACACCCTAAGTCTTAGTGAATAAATTGTATAAGACAAGGGAGCAAAATCTGATTGCATCTTTTCAGGAACACATCCATAAATTGTGCTGGGTTAATGTTATATAGCAGTAATTAAATCCATAGTCAACTTTATGAATACAAATGAATTGCCAAGAAAGGAATATCTCAGAAGGACTACCATTAAAGTTGCCACTAAATTGGACTAAAGTGTTGTTGTTGTTTTTAAACCAGTTAGGAAAATCTTCAAGTTTTTGCTGAAGCAAAACATCAAGGAAATTTCTGAGGGAAGTAAAAAAGAGTTTCAGTAAGAATTTCAAGTAGGGCACTTAAGCACTGTCCCTCATAAAACTGCACAGTGCACAATTAACACACCTGGTAATTAGGAGGCAAAAATAATAATTAAATATATTACTAATAGTGTAAGACATTAAAAATATACAAGCAACTACTTTCAAATTCACATTACAGCTTTTTTTCAGCTACACCCTTTATATGTTTCTTGTGACATTATGTTCCTCCATTATAAACAACTTCCCACTTCTCTACAGAGCTCAGCCAAGTAATTCTTGGAGCTTCGGCTAATAACCTTGTGTTGGGGAATCAGAGAAGCCTTTCTGACATTCTTCTCCTTCAAACCAGCAGTTCCCTATGAGACAGCGGAATGTGGCTACAAACAAATTCTTTGAAACTGGCGGGTTATTCCGAAGGCTTATGAAAGCCGTGGGAACGAACTGAAAAACAACAACCCAACAACCGCTGGCTACTTCAGCTTCCTAATTTCAGAGGCGGCGGCAGCCTCTGTGTTATGGGAGTGACATGGACTTCATACAAGCAGGAAGCGAGGCCACAAGCAAAAGGTATTGCTCACGCCAGGGAAGGGTCAGCGCTGTATTTACATTCCCACAGGAAATAGCAGAGAGCAGTGTTAGCACAGTAGTTCTTTGTGCTTTTCACTGGTGACAGGGAAGGAAGGCACAAGGGAAAGAGGATGTGGAGGTGATCCTCCTAAATGCAGGGCAGCCTGGCATGTGTAGCAAGGTCTCCTCTGCAACCTTCTTTTATTGCAACTCTTCCTCCCTTGCTGTACTGTGCCCACAGACACTCATGCCAGCACACGCAGAAGGGATGCACTTTCCCCTGTGCCCCAAAAGAAAGGAAGCAGGAACACACACAATCACACACAGTGAAGCAAATAATTTGTGGGGACTCCAGCTCTCCAACTGCAAGCTTCAAGTCAGCACAAAGGGACCCCAACACCACAACCCTGACCTCAGCTCATTAGCTCTTTTATGTGGCTCACTGGGGTGGGGTGGTTATTGTTGAAGGATTAACAAGTTCACATGGTTTACAGTCTCCACTTCTAAAAAACACAAATCATAGGACACATCCACAAATGAATGTAACTTGAGAGGAAGGCAGCGCTAAACGGAATTACAGCTACAATAAGAAGCACACTGAAAATAGGAGGACGTGCCCAAGGATTAAGGCTTTCTGGGAGATGATTTATAATGAATTAAAAAAGGTACTTAAATACACTTTCTTGAAGAAACCAGAGGCCTTTCTCCTGGGCATAGTCGGCCAATTGGTGCCAAAGAAGGATAGAACTTTCTTTATGTATGCAACAACAGCAGCAAGAATACTTATTGCAAAGTATTGGAAGACACAAGATTTACCCACCCTGGAAGAGTGGCAGATGAAGGTGATGGACTATATGGAATTGGCGGAAATGACTGGCAGAATCCGTGACCAGGGAGAAGAGTCGGTGGAAGAAGATTGGAAGAAATTTAAAGACTATTTGCAGAAATACTGTAAAATTAATGAATGTTAAAATGATGTTGGAATGGAAATAAGTGGTTTTGGTAATAAGGTTAATAAGAATATGCAAATATAGATTGTTATATGGATGAAAATATATAGTTATAATAGGTTAAGATATAGAGTAAAGATAAATGAAAGAGGGTAAGGATTTGCTGAAAGGATTTTGTAAACAGGAATACAAAAAGGGGAGGTGTGAGGAGGTCAAGGAAATAAGTAAATGAGCCTAAAGATATTGAAAAATGGATTTTTTCTTTTTAAAATTTTTTTCTTTCTTTCTTTCTTTTTTTTTAGCCATCTGTTTTTTGTATTTTGTATTTTCCTTTTTCTCTTTTAGGTCCTTGTTTCTTTGGTATTATCTTAGGTTCTTGTTTCATTGGTATTATTCTTGTTATCTTTTTTCTTTTTCTGTTTATGTGTAATCTTTGGTTTAATTTTCTTAATTTTTTTAAACCTATGTTTATTGTAAAATCTTAATAAATATTTTATAAAAAAAAATGAAAATAGGGATCACATTACCTCTTAACAACATCAATACAGTGGTACCTCTGGTTACGTACTTAATTCGTTCTGGAGGTCCGTTCTTAACCTGAAACTGTTCTTAACCTGAAGCACCACTTTAGCTAATGGGGCCTCCTGCTGGGAGGCGCAGATCAAGTTGGTCTGTGCCGGAATTTGCATGGAACAAATTCCTCAATGTAGGTGCCAACTCCCTGGGGCCATGAAGAGGCCGGGCACCCACCAATTTCCGTGCCAGGGCCATGGACACTGCATGGCACCCACAGCCCCGAGCACCCACTGCCATGGAGCCAAGTTGGCACTCCTCTTCCTCAAGCAATCCCCTCTACCCTTGCTAAGAGGAATCATAGAATCATAGAATCATAGAGTTGGAAGAGACCACAAGGGCCATCGAGTCCAACCCCCTGCCAAGCAGGAAACACCATCAGAGCACTCCTGACATATGGTTGTCAAGCCTCTGCTTAAAGACCTCCAAAGAAGGAGACTCCACCACACTCCTTGGCAGCAAATTCCACTGTCGAACAGCTCTTACTGTCAGGAAGTTCCTCCTAATGTTTAGGTGGAATCTTCTTTCTTGTAGTTTGGATCCATTGCTCCGTGTCCGCTTATCTGGAGCAGCAGAAAACAACCTTTCTCCCTCCTCTATGTGACATCCTTTTATATATTTGAACATGGCTATCATATCACCCCTTAACCTCCTCTCTCCAGGCTAAACATGCCCAGCTCTCTTAGCCGTTCCTCATAAGGCATCGTTTCCAGGCCTTTGACCATTTTGGTTGCCCTCCTCTGGACACGTTCTAGTTTGTCAGTGTCCTTCTTGAACTGTGGTGCCCAGAACTGGACACAGTACTCCAGGTGAGGTCTGACCAGAGCAGAATACAGTGGCACTATTACTTCCCTTGATCTAGATGCTATACTCCTATTGATGCAGCCCAGAATTGCATTGGCTTTTTAAGGAAGAGATGCATATAATTTTATGCTATTTTAAAACACATGTTACTACCAGATGCATTTGTATTTGGCTATTTTAAATGCCAAGTTGTTGCTTCATCTACCATAGCCGTATTTCTTTATTATGATCTTTCACTGGAAGAAGAATGCACTTCCACTAGAAAACTGGCCAAGCA